TCAGCGTGGAGCCCAATGTGGGGCTCGAACTCACAAACTGTGAGATCATGACCAGAACCAAAGTCAGACGCTTAACCAACTAAGCCATCCAGGCACCTCTCATTCTTTTTTTTTGTTTGTTTTGTTTTTAAAGTTTATTTATTTTTGAGACAGAGAGAGACAGAGCATGAACGGGGGAGGGCCAGAGAGAGAGGGAGACACAGAATCAGAAGCAGGCTCCAGGCTCTGAGCCATCAGCCCAGAGCCTGACGCAGGGCTCGAGCTCATAGACTGCGAGATCGTGACCTGAGCCGAAGTCGGACGCTTAACTGACTGAGCCACCCAGGCGCCCCTCATTCTTTTTTTAAAAAAGTATTTTATGGCAAGTATTTTTTAAGTACTGATTTTTTTAAGGGAGCACTAACTCATAATCCTGACATCAAGAGTTGCATGTTCTACCAACTGAGCCAGCCAGGTGCCCCAATAACTCATTATTTTTTGATAAGAAAAATATTTGGTTTTTTGTAGACAAGTGTAAAAATACAGAAAAACCCAAAAAGGAAAACAAATCACTCTATGTTGGTATTATATGATAGCAAATATTTTCACATTTTTAAACATAAGTTCTATGCCCAGTGTGGGGCTTGAACTCCCAACCCCAAGATCAGGAGTCATGTGCTCTACCACCTGAGCCAGCCAGGTGCCCGAGTATTTTCATATTTTTAAAAACAAAATTGGGTTATCCTCAACATGCTGTTTTATGATTAATTTTATTCATTTAATATATCATGTGTGTTTCTCATGTTACTAAGTATTTCTCGAGAATATTATTTTAATGGTTGATAATTTCATTGTGGAGCCATGATTTAACTAGTTTGCCCTACTGTTGAACATTTAAATTATTTTCTAATTTATTTTTTTGATGTTTATTTATTTTTGAGAGAGAAAGAACAGAGGAGGGGCAGAGAGAGGGGAGGAGACAGGATCTGAAGCAGGTTCTGTGCTGATAGCAGAGAGCCTGATGCAGGACTTGAACTCAGGATCCTAGCCATGAGATCATGACCTGACTTTGGTGAAGCTTAACTGATTGAGCCACCCAGGCACCCCAATTGTTTTCTGATTTAAAACATTAAGCTGAGAATGTTTTTCCATTCTTGGTGATCGTTCATTTTACTTGTTTATTCAACATATCTGAAATACCTCCTCCCTGCAGGGTGGTTGGCCTTTGCACAGAGGGGAGACTCCTAAAGCTGAGATGCTCAGGTTTAGGAGACGAGTTGTTGAGCCCTCAGGAGCTCCTTCTCCAAAGTTTGCCACTGGAAGATGTAGAAGTGCAAATGAAGAAGATAGAATCCATAACTTTCCTAGTCTCTTGCCCACGTTCTCCCTGAGGCATACAGACACCCCAGGAAGCCCAAGTTTAAAAGCACAAACACACTTTGAGTATGGTTCAAGTTGAAAGGGCTTCCTTGTTCCTCAAGTTTCTTAGGTTGTATTAAGGGTAATACCTTCTAAATCTAGGAGTTTGGATTATTTTCTTATTGGCCAGTTCCTGGTCCTCAATTTTATTCTCTTTCAAACACTTATATCAAGTGGGTTGGATATTTCCATTTTCCCCTCAGCCTTGGGTATAATTGGAATATAGAAGCAGGGTTTCCCATTCCCTTTCTTATCCTAAGGTTTACAAAGAGAGAAATAAAAGGTCTCAGATTGATATATATTCTAGCATTTATTGCAAAATGAGGTTGAATTCCCAATCTGGGAAAATAACAAAACAGTCATTTTACAGCTCTTTGGGGGGGAAAAATACCTCTTTGGGTGCATGATTGGGGCAGGAGGAGACTTGTCTAGGTAACTTTGGAGTCACCTGTCCACTTACTGTGACCATCCTTTTTCTATGGCTAGAGAGATGGTTTCTGAGCTGGAAAAGTCCTCAGCTTATGTTGGGGTCCTGGTTTCCCCAGGGTTTTATGAGGAGAATTTTTTTTTTAAGTAAGCTCTACACGCAATGTGGGGCTTGAACTCAAAACTCCAAGATCAACAGTCACATGCTCTATTGACTGAGCCAGGCAAGCCCCCTGAGAACTTTATAAAAGTGCATACTCAGATGAAAAACTCAACACCCTAAAAACCTCCCACTGGGCAGATATAAGGTCTCTGCCCCACTTATCTGTCTTCATGAACATATAGTTGGTCTTCCTGGAGCCAGACAGCACAGGGGAAGGTTGCTCCTTCAGGAGTCTTGTCAGAACTCTTTGATTCCCTCTGATTCTCAGCAGCACAGCTGGGTTGGATGTGATTTGAAACTTACAGCAACAAGTACTTTGAGGGTCCTTCTGTATATGACCCCCAAACCAAACTCCCCTTTAACAAGCTGCAAAAGTACAGGCACAAAGACCAGGAAATAACTTACAAGAAAGATGAAATGGGGTCTGCCCAAGTTAGAATCCCCAGGTTCCAATTTCAACTCTGTGGAGAATATGCTGTATAACCGTGGGCCTCCATTCCCCCCATGAATAGCAGATACGAAGATGACTACAGGCCAACCCTGTGATATTCCAGTTGTTTTAGAATTCACTCTCTCTGGGAAAGAAGCTGTGTCCGCTTCCATTGTCATGCAACTGAGCAAGTGAATTTGAGTGGGGTGCTATCAAGCACTGCCTGGGGAACTTGTGCAGTAGTACTTGTTTACCACATGCCTACACTGGTCACACCTGACTGTGCAACACCACTGGAATTTGCAGTTACAGCTGCTGATAGCCTCAGTTCTTCTCTCCTCCACCTGCAGGCCACACTCGGTGCACAAGCGCCCACAGCTGCGTTGCTCCCACCTGGATGTGTTGTGGCTATTCTGTAGACACTCCCGACCTTCTGTGCCATAGATGCCCAGGCTGGAATTGCGGGTACAGTAATCTGGTGATTCCTCCAAAAAGATCAGCTCAGCCTCTGCACTAGGAAGGAATCCCTCAGTGGGTGCCCAGTGGCCCTCAGCACTGTTCCCAGCCCTTAACTGCCGCTTATCCATCTCGATTTTCAGGGCCCGTTCGTACTTGGCCTTCAGGTAGTCTCCCATCTCCCGGAAGTCAGCCAGCTGCAGCCAGCATGTCTGGATACTGCAGCTTCCAGAGATGCCATGACATTTGCAGGTCCTTTTCATAATGGCTCTCACTGCCTTCAGAGAGAGAAAGAGAACGAAAAAGAATGACTCTGGGTAGGGAAGACCAAAGGCTAGTAATTAAATGGAATATTTTAGAGTTGAGCTTCTTAACTTTGGAGGGCATCAGAATTACTGGGGAGGCCTGTGAAAAACACTTATTCTTGGGCCCCACCTCAGATCTTCTCAATTGGAATGTTCAGGGGTATAAAGGCCTCAGTGTGGGTAATTTTAAAGCTCCCTTGGGTATTCTTCGGGAAAGTCAGACAAGTGTTGAGGTTACTGGAATCAGAAACCTTGGGCTCTAGGCCCAACTCCATCACTTGTTGAGCCTGTTTCTCTCTCTCATTGGAATAAGAATGATCAAGAAAGTACTGTGTAAAGGGGAAAATATGATCATTGGCACTGTTATTGTCCTGAAAGTGGGACCTGGAGTATTTGTAAGGGTTTTGATTTGTCCTCTCCCAGAGGGAGGGAAGCTCCTGCAGTCTGAACGCTTACCCTTGAGGCAATTACCCATGAGTGTAATAAATTGCCTTGAAAACCTCTTACCCTTGCCCTGGGCAACTAGGTCATCCAGATGTAGGTTCAAAGGGAAATTTTTCTGCTCTTAGCACTAAATCCAACTTGTTTCCAGATTTGAGTTCAGAATAATCCAGAAGTTTTGGGGTAGAATAGACCCTCCAGAGAAGCCCAGATCAGTCCCAATCCCTCGAAGCCCAGACATATCTTAGGACACAGGTTGGATGAAAACCCCCATCAATTTCCTAGAACATGCAGTTGAAATGGGTAAAATTTTAAGTCATAGAAGCAAGGCTTTGGTACTATATTGTTCTGTGTTCTCAGAAACCTGCCTGTGGAAGGGGCTAGACCGTAATGTCTAGGGATAAGACTAAAGTAGAAGATCTGAGTTTATTGCCTGGTTCTGACGCTTATTTGTTAGTTGTATTGCCTTGGCCAAGCCACTTGGCTCAGCCTGAACTGGTGTTGTCATTCAGAGACTGGGGGTAGCCCTCCCAGTCCTGATAACTGCTGTATGGATGACATATGGGTATGAGACAGCTCTTGGTAGGCTGTACAGATGTGAGGCTATTGCCAGTACTGAAACTGATAGTTCACTGGTGGACTCCTATACCTACCAGCCTGCCTGCCCTATTGTTGTGAAGATTCATCAGGGCTCTGGCATCCTTTCCCTTTTCCAGGCTGTCCACAAAGAGTTTGGAGATCCTTTCCCCAAATTCCACATTGTCGCTGCAGCCTCCCCAGATCCAGCCATGACCTCCTATACATAAGGAAAGAGTAAGTTCTGCACACATTTCCCTGGTCAATTTCAGAAGAGTCAAGGTCACTTTGGCTAACCATCCCCCAAGAGCCCTAGAAGAGTGTAAAGCTATAGCTGCAGGTGAAACAGGGACATGGAGGTGCTCAGGGTGGGTGGGTGAGGTCCTGTTCCCAAAGCCAAGTGCTCACCCTCAGGTACTTTCTATCTCTAGGCAGTTAGTTTCTATACCCACAGTAAAGGAGGCATACTGAACCTGACCTAGATGATCTTAGAGGTTCATTGCAGCTCAAACATTCTGGAATTCTGTACCATTATCTTACAGTAGTCTTGTTAGAGTCATCTCCTCCCTCATTAATGACAAATCTGATTCTCTTAGATGGTGTACAAGTAACTGAGTAGCTCTGGATTATGGCCAAACTGTTCTCAGACTGAAATATGAGGGTTAGCTTTAAACTCTCTTTGGCCTTCTAATTCCTAGATGCCTTGTTAGTTCTAGAGTTCAATGCTACTTGGTGATCCTGGAATCAGGGACCCAGGCTCAACTCTTGGGAGACTATAGGTTCAGGACCTCCCACCAAGAAGTTGCTGCTAGTATCTAGGGGTTTGAGGGAAATGTGTCCACCTTTTCCTGGAAGACCTTAGCCTGAATGTAGCTCTGCATCCCTCACTTCTTCCCACCCACATCAGAGAGCACAACTTACCTGTTTTTCCATTTTTTGACTCATCACAGCCACAGTTTTCAAAGTCACCCATGCTACAGTTCTTGGTGATGGTGTACATGACTCCAGCAGAGCTGATTGCATGAATGAAGGAAGTCTCCCTGGTGGCTTTGGAGAGAGAGAGGGGACTGGAAACTTGGGCTCTGATGACCCAAAAAAGCAGAGGCTTTGGAAAAGCAGTGCTCTTTCTCTCCCCTGTCCCCTGCCCCCTTTGGGTTGAAGAGGATACTCTTTCTTCTACTTGAGAGAACAGTGCATGTCTTTCCAGCGTCCTTACTGTCATTCACACAGACAGGAGCATCCCCATGCACAGAT